CCTCTCTGCTTACCCTCAAAACAGACTTCAGAGCAGGCTGTCCTAACACCTGGTTACTATTGCTGATCAGGCTGTCAACCACCACAGGAGACAAAAATGAAAAAGAAAAATCCAACCTAGAGGTTTGTGAAGTAAAGAATAAGATTGTGATGTTCTGGAGCTACTGTAAGGTGGGCCAACGGTTTGCTGCATTTGTGTGGCCCCCCACCATGAGGTTTGGGGGCTCCCTCTCACTACAATGTCACTACACTGAGGGGGTGGGGCAAAGTAATTTCTTGAGTAGGGCCCTCAAAACAAAAAACCCATCCCTGGGGAGGAAAGGACATGACACTCATTATGCAAGATCTTTTACAGGGGAGTCATACAGGGGGGTTAGTACACCTACACTAACGATGCTCGGCACATGACCGAACCCTTCAGAGACAGGAGACCTTCTAAATCTAAATTTAAGTCAAATGTAAAATAAAGCTCTTGATTTTAAAGAATGGACTGGGTTGTTTATTTCCGGGCAGTTAACACATAATTACAGCATTTGCCAACACATTAACAAAGTAATCCATAAGACGCTACTGTTTGTAAATCACCAGCGGAACAAAAAGGAAGAGTCAATGCACGTGTTTGCGCTGCTTCAGAGGCGGCGAGGGCGTGTAAACAAACACGGTGGAAGTCATGATCTGCCTCCAGACACGCAGATTTCGGGTAGGAAATGTTATATCTAACATAACGTATATCTAACGTCTGTAGATCTAATCCTAAAAACAATCAATTAGCATAGGTTTACTTGCGTGCATGGGGTGCTGTCTGACGTAAGGCGTGGGACATTTCAAACGGAAGGGAGTCTGTGTTTTAGTGCGAACTATGACTAACATTCCCGGGAATAAAACGTATTTCTGATTTAGAAATAGGATGCATGTGAGAAGGAAAGTAGTAAACTAAGACTGGCCACGTCGTTTGCAGACTGCGGGCTGTCACCGGAGAGGAGCCGGAGTATCATAAACACATAGCCCTAGTGTAAATGTCAACGTCACATTAAACGACCCAAACGACTAACACCCTGCGTTTCCCACCACGTTACACAAGTAGAGGAAAAAACTGGTTTATTTGATTCATGACCCGAGGTTTTCAAACCGACACAAAAGATAAAGAGGTAGCATGTTCGATGCGCGGACATAACGCGATTATACAGTAGCGGATTGATTTATGCGGCACTCGGGGCTCCGCTACCTGCCGGCGCGTCTCATCGCTTATTAATTGTCGTTTACAAACGGTGCGGATGGTGACGCTGGTCGCCGCTTTGCGAAGCCGAGGAAATAACGCTTCAGATCGGCGCCCCTGAGCAGCAGAATACGTGGAAATGTAAATGAAATATTTAATAAATTATAATTTCCAGAAATCACACGCACCCTCAATCTCGCACCTAAAACTGTCGCTGTGCAATTACAGACTTCGGGAGGTATCTTATGGATATTTCTTTTACATGACTGTGTTCAGTTAATAAAATAACCACCAGTTTTGAGATATTTGCAAATTTCAAACTCTGTAGCATTAATGACAACACCTGTTGTATAAATCTTAAGTGCAATCACCGATTATGTAAACTAGTACGATGACAAGACATCGCTTCGTCCCAGACCAAAACAATACGCTGTACATTTCGATGTAAATGAGCGGTTTGACTTTAGTTATCTGTACAAATCAGCCTGAGTGCGAGATCACTGCAGACACTACAGGACATAAATAGTTATAATGTGACTGACGGAGGCAGGTGTTCTGGTAATCGCCAGTACGATCACAGATTTTATACCGGATATTCTGGTAAGAAAAAACTAAAACTAAGAATTAAAGCTGATACTAGCCCGACACGTTCGAGTGTCTCCGTACTCAGATGGTTTCCCGTATAGAGTGCAACCTAATGAACGGAGCCAAAGAAAAGCGAAACTTAGAAGCTGAGTAGAATATAGATGGGGCTAGAGACACGGTTCGGTCGTGATTTGCACATACCCCCCCACATATGTGCGTCCCCTTCGCAGTCGCTATTCAGTGCGAACAGTTTGTGTAGACTGACCATCACAGACTACAAGACCTGATCACTCCGTCCCGGGTGGTTACATGGCGTATCAACAAGGGCAACATTGCCGTTATTGTTACTTGATTCCATCACTGCCATCTCGTGCGCAAATTCCCATGCCTGTTAAAATATTCAATTATATAATCTTACGGTTTAATTGTTCGTAGCCTATATTGTACAAGTAAATAATTTACATCGGTGCATCCTCCTGAAGGAAATTTTTCATATAGGCTACTCAGCGCAGGCTGCCGCTATGACAAATTATATTGATTATACTGTCAAAATAAATTGGTGTGGACTGTAATGGTAAAACTGAATAAAATAATAATTTCTCTATGAGCGGTTCGGGAGCGAAAGCCCAAATGACTTATTTCGAATAATAACGGTTCGTGCCTACCTGATAGACGAAGAAGACTATAAGGACACAGGCTCGGATCTCCATCATATCACTTCTCTGGGATAGAGAGAGGGGGGAAAAATCAAAACAAGGCGCAGGTTTGACCAGCTCTGTTCATAATTCCAAAGTCGAACTGGCGGAGCGGGAGTGAAGCCTTTGCTGGGAGCTGCCAACTTCCCAAATAGAACTGCAGCCTCATCAACAAAGCATTGGACAAGAGCGCCGACACCGCGACCAATAGACTTACAGGGGGATTTCTTGAAATCCACCAGAACCTAGAGCATCTATATACCTCCTCAAAATGCCTGTATTTATCCGGGATGGGCGATTTATCTCTGCACCTGTGCGTTCCCAGCTACCCTTTTTAAAGACGGATTTCACGTTTATATAACCTTATTAAATACGCCGACGTCTGACAAAGACAAACTAATATTAGATTACCAATTGCATCCAACATTCAACTGCATTCTGCAGCGCATATGTAATGTGTCATTGCACTGATTTAACGGTTGTTTACTTAGTAAATTAGTTTTAAAACAGGGGTCTTGCTGGGGCACAATACTATATACATCGATGTGATGGCGCCCCTTATTTTCATATCAGGTATAGCCTATTCAGATTCGATCGAGCAGTCAAATAGAATTATTAACATGGAAGGTCCGTCAGGTTAATTTTAATAGCCTATATTCTCCTCATTGATGGAAAAACGTGGGGGCGTCTGACAGCCCGCCGGGGACCGTACTTCTTCACTCCATATCCTGCCTGAGGGCACGTGTGCTGTCTTGGCAAGGGCCAGGAAGAACAACAACCAAGATCTATGAATCGAACCTCTGAAAGCGATGTTCCTATTGCTGGGTACTAATGAAGAGCAAATTTATATTTCTATGATGGAAAGGTACAGTCCTGGCGCCAGACTGCGCTATGCCGGCATTACATACTGTATATATCAAAAGTCCTGTACAACATTTCCTCCGTTGCATCTGTAATACCAGTAATACAAAGCCGTATTTCCGGACCTTAGAATAATGTTTCGCAGAAATTGCCAGTGGCGTCGAAGCTGATGAAATCTAGCAACTGTCAGACCCTGTCGACTTTAGATTACTGATACTCAAACCAACTTTACCTATTGAATATCAAGTTTAAAGCTCTCTCAGACCGGAGGAAGGGATCAAAACTTCAGGGATCAAAACGCATCAAAACTTCCCCTAGCCCCCCACAAACTGTCCTTATCCCGCAATATAAATTTTTAAGCGGGTGTAGCCGACTAGAAAAGGCACGCGCCTCTCCACTGATGTTTTTCCCTTCTTTTCTTAGACTTATAAATACAGAATGAAATTCAATTCACGCGTCATTGATGGGATGAAAAATAGCCAATGGGGGGGGGGGAGGCAAATTAGCGGATGCTACTCAAAGACCAGTGTGGGAGGGAATATCAGAGCGCCCCCTTTAACCAGGGTGTGCAAAAACGAGCTGGGGAATGACTGCGATGGTACAGAGCATTGCTGTCCGACGAGGCTACATCACTCGGATACGTTGTGAATTTGCATCGGCTGCTTGAACCAACACCAAATGGCCGCCTGTCGAAAAACCAAACTTAGGTGGGACTGTAACTCAGGATATATCTACGCAAGGAAGTGATTAATTCTTCCGCTGGTGAAGAAGCGGAGATAACAGACGATTACATCCAGTTTAATAGACTGCTAGGAATGTATAATAAAGTCGGTTTGATAGGAGATCACCGATAATCAGACCGAGTCACTGTATGGACCCAGCGTTCATCTTCGGAGGAAAACTGGTGGCCATCACTTGGTCAGACCACAAATACACAATCGCTTGAGTCTTTTCGCACATTCAGACAGAAAATGTGGTCACACTGAGGTAAAAACAATTTTTATCCGAATTCTACGTGCAGTACGCTGTGATTTGAGTGGATCTGCCCAGACGCGGCTTTGGACACGATCGATAAATGCAAATTACAGAAACTTTCCACAAATAACTGTCCTCATCACTTACCTCCTCTCCCCTCATGTGTTGACAGTAGGGATGGAAATTATTATTCTTTTTAGTGAATCGTTCATTGATTCATTCACTTCCGACCCGTACCCCTTCATATCAGTAAAATATTGACTTGTGCTCTTCAAATTGCATAATTAAAAATACAGTATTTCTTATGAATAGGCTTGTCTTCATCTTAATATATTTATTATATGCGAAATGCTGGCTATAGTTTAGGTGTAGATGTGTCATCATTGTAAGACAGGGTATCTCGGTCGTGGATAATAATTCAAGGCCACAAAATGATCGAAATCACTTTGTTGCCCGAAATCATTCCTTCAGTTAAAAGATTCGGTTAAAAAAGAATGAATCATTCACCAACCATAGACCTACATGTCCAGTCCAGCCTTTTGCGACGGTTCAGCAGTGGAAGGCTTAGCGCTGGTGCCGTATTTTTAATAAGTTAACTCAGGTTTTAACTCTTACTCTCACTTTAATATTTATTCTGTGTTCTCTGCGACTTTCAGCAAAATAACCTGAGAAATAGGCCTATCTGTGTGGATGAGAGTTATGACTTACCTGGTAACTTGATAAAAAACAAGTGAGCAAAGAAAAGAGGAAATGTTGCAGTGTCATATAAGTAGAGCAGAGGTCGCTGGTGGTACAGGACCTTTAAGAAAAGTGCATGAGGAAATAACCTTCGTTTACTGAGCTTCTGAACTGTAGAACAATCCGCCAATCAATGCACACGATTCCCCACGGATACTTCACAATATGGTTGGAAATTCACATATTTCGTGTAGGGGTTTGCTTGATTTAACAGCACTGGCCTGAAGTTGGGTGAACTCTTGTGCTGCCATGGCGAGTGAGTGCGATTGGCAGCGGTGTCCTGCAGGGAATTAAATTAATAAAAAAAACGAGATGGGCGTGGTCAACTCCGGCGCCCTGCTGGCCGTGTGGTAGCGTCAGCTGGGAAAGGTTGCTTCCTAACATCCTCAGTGGAAGCTGCTCATGACAAATGTAAAATGTGGCGAACCCCCTGGATTTAAGCAACACCAGATGGCACAGAAATTTTCAGATGAACCCTTATAGTCAGCCGCCCTCAGTCATTAGCATGTCTCGCGGGGAGGCGGGGTGGCCTTGGACCATGCGATTAATCCTTTTTCTCTTGATTCCACTAATAAAAGTTACTCTGCTTCTGCGCCTTAAGGAATATTTCAGGCCCCGATTCTTTTCTTGTTCATTTGATATCCTTATTAATCCTGCAGCGTCTGTCAGTTTCCTTTTCTAAGATTAATTATCAGTTCTTGGTGCGATTTCGTTTCACAACGTGTATTATGAATAGAAGTGGAAACAAGCTGAATGTTGGCAGCCAGGTAAATGCCTCTTTCAGCGATCCGCTTCTCAGTATTTTGCCATGGATCACCATGGTAACTTCTATACAATACAATCCTAGCATTTTTGCATAACTTATCCAATGCTTCACAAAATAACCGATTAAACTTGGTCTGGTACTTCCACATTGTCATTCAAACATCGTGCCACAAGGTGGGGCTGTAAACAATCACCAGGAGGTGAATTTCCCGAGAAGAGTAAATTTGTGGTGTTTTATTACACCCCCCATTTCTACCGTATTTTTCCATACCTCGTTGTACAATTAGGTAAATGAATGGGCGAAGTCACATAAAGATCTGCCAAAATTCAGTCAAAAATGCTGCAAAACATCGACAGAACAGACCTAGTCAAAATGGCTGATATCATTATAAGAAAATGAACAGAAAGGAGCACCACATATACCAGAGAAGAGGTTGTCAGGACGTGGCTTTTTAACGTCGTGTTTTGTCACTGTATAAAATATGGAAATAACAGACTCTTCCACAAACTGTGCCAGCTCCATCTTTCCATGCCAAAGGATGGGAAACAGTAGCCATGGAATGTGATGGGCATGGATTTGAATCCCAGGACTGGTGCTGTTGCTGCCTGCCCACTAGGTTAAGAACTTCAGACCTAACCCATATGCAGTGGACAGTTGAGCAAAAGAATATTCAAGATGTGGGCTTGGACTTGGCAAATGGGCAGGAGGTGAGAAATACTCATGAAAGTGGGTTTGACGAGTCAATAAATCATGCACGGTAATCTATAAATAGGAGTTGTTGTTAGATCCATCAATTAACTAATTAACAGCTGAAGAAAGAGAGCAGGAGGGACCCAAACCAGTGAGCCACCATCAAAGCACCGTGAATCACTGAAACGACAGCTGTTAAATCAGACTGCTTCATAACACTTTATCTCTATTAATTCTACAGTTTTCTTCAGTGTTAAGGTATTTCCAGCACCAGCACGTTTATATTTAGATGCATTTATTTACTTTGCAGGCACTTCTGTCCAAAGCAACGTAAAAGTGAGGCAGACAGCACATCACAAACGTACAGCTGTCAAGGAGTCAAATATGCAGAAGTGCATAAGATCTCTGTTATAATTCTGTAAAATGTAGCGTTTTTGTGCCAGTTACCCTGTGTGTGAAGGAGCTTAGGCTATAAAAAGGAGTTTAGGATGATTAAATAAAGATAAACTAATAAACATCCATCCATTTTCTGCAACTGCTTATCCTTTTTCAGGGTCGTGAGGGGTCTATGGGACCAAGATTGGGAACAACCCAAGATGGGGTGCTAACCCATCACAGGGCACACTCACACCATTTACACTTAAGGGGGATTTTGTAACTCCAGTTAGTCTCATCCTGTTTTTGGACTGTGGGGGGAACTGGAGTATCTGGAGGAAACTGTCAGGGTCAGCACCCATCCGACCCCAGCTTTCCTGTCTCCTCCCCATTTGGCCAGCAGGTGTCGCTGGCCATCCTGTCCTCCTCCATGTCACTTGCCCTTCAGCCCCTGTGTGCTTCCTCTGCTCCCTGCGTTACCACATAGCTCAGTGGGCTGAGTGTGTGGTTCAGATTATGAGTCATGGGATTGAAATTAGCAAGGAACAACCCTCACCTGTTGTGTTTGCTTTTCCCCGTTGTCATCGGTTGTCGGTGCGTTCTAATTTTTTGGTGCTTTTTGTATTTCAGTTTGTTCCTTGTCTTTTGCTCCTTGTCCCCCGTTTACCCACTTTTCCTTGCTGATGGAGATTATTGTGTAATTATTATTTCCAGTGATATATCAGATGATTAAGTTAATGTTTGTACCTTTAAGAGCGTCACATTGCGTGAGAGAGGAGCTCATTAATAAGTAATGAGTTAGTCTGAGGAAGATGGACATGCGTGGTCTTTTGAGCTCTATCTCTCTCACACTTTATTT